TATCCTGTGCCATGTGGGCACTCTGGGAGGTTTAAGCAAGAGGAGGACAACACACAAATGGAATCCTCTCAGCTTGTAGCTCTCACTAGCTTAGAGAAATACCACAAGAATAGAAACCCTGTCAAACAAAAATATCAAACAACAGGAAATTTGACTGCACACAGAGGAATTAAAGAGTAGAAATACAATAGACCTAGGGGACTAGACAAATAGGGGTCCAGAAAATACGTGACTGCAAAGATGTATAGATGAGTAAATCTGTTGACAAGTTTCAATGGTGTGTAACAAAATTACAGTTGAAATATTAAGAGACTTTAATTATGGTAATTATATGAACTGGAAAAAGTATAGTGCAAAGGGTAGAGAAGAAGAAGAGCATCAGATATGTATATGATAAAGCTTTGGCAAAGATCTGTAGCTTGGGTTGTGGATGAGGTTGTTGACTTGCTCGCTGAGCTGGCTTGTTCTTGTTCAGTCGTTTCGTCACCATGTTAGTTGACATCATCAGTAGAGCCTCCGATGAAGCAATGCTATTCTACTCTGCTTGGAGTTTTGAAATTAGGTCAGGCAGCATTCATGGAAAGAGAGCAAGCTAACGTTTCCAGTTTAGATGACTCTTCATCAGAGTTCATGGATTCTGCCTGACCCATTGTGATTTCAGCATTTGTTTTGTTTTCAGTACAGATTCCAGCACCCACACCATCGTCCTTGGTGCTAGGTCTCACTCCCACTAGCAGAGAATTTTTACCTGAAACCCACTGCAAGTTTTAGTAGGATTCTTTTACGCCAAACCCAGCCAAATGTTGCCTTAATGTCAAGGGCTGTCACTCCCACCTGTAGTCCAGAGTTCAGTTCTTTTCACCATGTTTGAACCAAAAGTTATAGTGAGATCAGGGCGGAGTGGCTGAGGAAGAACTCAAACTGAGGATCAGTGATCAAGCTATTGCTAAGAAAGTGATAACAGTGTGGAGCTGGAGGAATACAGCTCCACACTGTGTTATCTCTGATTCCAGCATCTGCGGTTCTTACTATCTCTCATTGCTAAGTAAGTGATACCAAATGGGACTGTTCAAAACACCTTCCATTATTTTACTGATGATCTAGAGTAGGCTGATGGGCAACAGTTGGTCAGCTTGGATTTGTCCTTCTTTTTGAGTACAGGACATACCTGGACAATTTTCCAAATTGTCAGGTAAATATCAGTGTTGAAGCTGTACTGGAATAGCTTGGTTAGGGTCGTGATAAATTAGGGAGCACAAGTCTTCACTGTATTAAAGCTGTACAAGACACTGATAAGGCCACTTTTAGAGTATTGCATATCATTCTGATCACCCTGCTATACGAAGAATATTATTAAACTGGAAAGGATGTAAAAAAGATTTATAAGGATGTTACCGAGATGGGAAGGCTCAAGTTATAAGGAGAGGCTGGGTAGGCTGGGACTTTTTCTCCCTGGAGTGAAGGAAGCTGTGGGGTCATAAAGTCATAGAGCTGTACAGCATGGAAACAGACCCTTCAGTCCAACTCGTCCATGCTGACCAGATAGCCTAAATTATTCTAGTCCCAGTATTTGGTCATATCCCTCTAAACCATTCCTATTCATATCCATCTAGATGCCTTTTAAATGTTGCAATTGTGCCAGCCTCCACCACTTCCTCTGGGAGCTCATTCTAAATACACACCACCATCTGTGAGAAAAAGTTGCCCCTTAGGTCCCTTTTAAATCTTTCCCTCCCACCTTAAAATTAAGCCCTCTAGTTTTGGTTTCTATGATCTTGGGGAAAAGACCTTGGTTATTGACCCTATCCATGCCCCTCTTGATTTTATATCTCTATAAAAGGTCACCTGTCAACCTCCAATGCTCCAGGGAAAATAGAGTGTTTGAATTATAGGGAGAGCCTATTCAGCCTCTCCCTATAATTCAAACACTCCACCCTGGCAACATCCTTGTAAATCTTTTCTAAACCCTTTCAAGTTTCACAACATCTTTCCTATAGCAGGAAGACCAGAACTGAACACTGTATTCCAAAAGTAGCCTAACCAATGTCCTGTACAGCTACAACATGACCTCCCATCTCCTATGTTCAATGCACTGACCAATAAAGGTAAGTATACCAAATACCTTCTTCACCATCCTGTCTAACTTGGACTTCATTTTCAAGGAACTATGAACCTGCACTCCAAGGTCTCTTTGTTCAGCAGCACTCCCCTGGATCTTACCATTACATGTATAAGTCCTGCCCTGATTTGCCTTTCCAATTGCAGCACCTCACATTTATCTAAATTAAACTCCATCTGCCACTCCTCAGCCCATCGGCCCACCTGATCAAGGTCCCGTTGTACTCTGAGGTAGCTTTCTTCGCTGTCCACTACACCCCCAATTTTGGTGTCATCTGCAAACTTACTAACCATACCTCCTATGTTCACATCCAAATCATTTAAATAAATGAAAAAAAGCAGTGGAACCAGCACCAATCCTTGTGCCACATTGCTGGTCACAGGTCTCCAGACTGAAAAGCAACCCTCCACCATCGCCCTCTGTCTTCTACCTTCAAGCCAGTTCTGTATCCAAGTGGCTAGCTCTCCCAGTATTCCATGTGATCTAACCTTGCTAACCAGTCTACCATAAGGAACCTTGTCGAATGCATTACTGAAGTCCATATAGATCATGTCCACTGTTCTGCCTTCATCAATCCTCTTTGTTACTTCTTCAAAAAACTCAAGTTGGTGAGAATCAACTTCCCATGCACAGTCATGTTGACTATCCCTAATCAATCCATGCTTTTCCAAATACATGTAAATCCTGTCCCTCAGGATCCCATCGAACAACTTGTTCGCCAGTCTATAGTTTCCTGGTTCTTCCTTACCACCTTTCTTAAATAGTGGCACCACGTTTGCCAACCTCCAGTCTTCCAGCTCCTCACCCATCAATGATACAAATATCTCAGCAAGAGGCCCAGCAATCATTTCTCTTGCTTCCCACAGAGTTCTAGGGTACATCTGATCAGGTCCTAGGGATTTATCCACTTTTATGCATTTTAAGACGTCCAGCACCTCCTCCTCTGTAATATGGACATTTTTCAAGATGTCGCTATTTATTTGCCAAAGTTCTCTATCTTCCATATCCCTCTCCACAGTGACACAAAATACTCATTTAGTATCTCCTGCATCTCCTACGGCTCCACACATAGGCGGCCTTGCTGATCTTTAAGGGGCCCTATTATCTCCCTAGCTACTCTTTTCTCCATAAATGTATTTGTAGAATCCCTTTGGAATTTCCTTTGAGGTGACCTTATAGAGGTTTATAAAATTGTGAAGAACATAAATATGGTGAAGAGCCAAGATCTTTTCTCCAGGGTAGGGGAGCTCAAAACTGTAGGGAATAGATATAATGTGAGAGGGGAAAGATTTAAAGGGGACCTGAGGGGCAACTTCTTCACACAGAGAGGATGGTGCACATATGGAACAAGCTGCCAGAGGAAGTGGTAGTGGTGAGTACAATTACGACATTTAAAAGACATCTGAACAGGTACATGGATAAGAAAGATTTTAAGGGATATGAGCCAAATGCAGGCAAATTGGACTAATTCAGTTTAGGAAACCAGGCCGGCATGGACGAGTTGGGCCAAAGTGTCTGTTTCTGTGCTGTATGACTCTATTATTCTATGTTGTCAGGACCTATCGTGCTGCTGTATCTATAAATAAAATTTTCTAAATATTAGCATCTGAGATGTTGAGGACTCTGAAATGAGAACTAAACTTAACAGTTAACAGTTCTAATGACCTAAAGACAGATTAATAATATGAATGACAACAGAGGTGTGGAGTTTTGACAATTCATCCAGCATTGCCCTATAGTTCAACCAAGAATGGGTCTGTAATTGAAAAGCAGCGTGGTGAAAATATTCGAGATCTGAAATATAAACAGATGATACTCAGCAGTTCTTGGAAGAGAAACAGGAAGTAGGCTGTGTTCTGTATAGTTCTAGAAAATGAAGTGCAAAAAATGGGTAATATAAATTAAAAAAGTAACATCGAGGAAACAATTATACAATTGGAGGGGAATTGAAACAAATAGGAAGATACTTTACTGGAAATGCAAATTTCAATGAAATAAGAAGGAAACAGTCAAAAACTTTTTAAAGACAGCTGGACAAAAACAATGACAACTTGCATTTATATAGTGCTTTAAATTGTAAAACATTTCATGCCACTTCAAAACATAACTGTTAATGGTGGAGCAATGGGATTCAGAAAGTTTTGGGGATGGAGGATGTTAAAGTAATGGTGGTGAAGGTGGGGGTGCTGAAAGGAGGAGCAGGTGCAAGGTCATGGAACGATCTGAACACATTTTAAATCTGAGGAATTCTTGAACTGGAAGGCATTGAATGACAATAAGATATGGGATAATGAGCATGCATACTTAGTGGGAGTTAGGATAGAGGCAGCAGACCTCTGGATGACATCACATCAATGCAAGAGGAAATGACTTAAAACTTGTTTTCAACAAGATGCCACATAGAAGGATAAAGATAATTGTTTTAAAATGGAAAGATAATGAATAATGATGAGTCCCATAGATCAGAGTTGGGATCGATACACATAAATGATTTGCTTTCACATATGTAATGTAATAGCAACACAAAAAAACCCTAAGTTTAACTGATTAACTGGAAGAAAACTCCGGTAGCCCCAGAACTAGGGATAGAGAAATGGACACAAATATTCAAGATCTTTGAGAGAACAAATATGTAGATGTCACAAACTCTCACACCAGAGATCAGCTTCTAAGAGGGAAGGTGCATAGGATAGGCTGAATTATTTTATGTTGAGGATTGTCATCATGTGGGATGAAAAGGAGTGGAGACACATGAATAAGAGAATTTAAAGGAAAATTTGACAGATCTATGGTGGATTAGCTGATTGAGGGAAATGTCAGCTGCACTGCAGAATATTTTTCACTTCTATACTTTCCTATGTTCTACACTTTACATACTTACAACTGTATACTCTGCACCACTTCATCAATGGATCCAGCTGGAGTTCCAGAGTGAGATAAACTGGAATGTATTGGGTGCAGTGTCCGAGGAGGATTGCGTCGTCTTGCAGAAGGAACTGGGTAGGACACGGAGGAAACACTAGGTTCCAACAGAAGGTTTGCTCGAAAATGGTTTGAAGAGATGATACTTGAACGTGGTCGCAGAACAGGCCTCTCATCTTGATTGCTGTAATCAAGGTCATCATAAAACAATTAAGAATCCTTCTGTCACCTCTTCGAAGTACTCCTGAACCCCCTATCCCTATGAATCAATCCCAAATTATCCAACTCTGTGTCACACTTCCTTCAGTGCCAGTAACACAAAACCAGATCTCTCAGTCACGTATTAGTCTGGAGATCTGCGTGCGGACTTATTAGTCCACGAACATGTGAACAGAACTGACAGTGCAGCTCAATATTGACCTTGTCCCAGTCTGAAAGAAAAACATTTTGATTAAATATGTACGTTTCATTTGAAGATTTATTTTAATTAAGATTTCCCTTCACACTTACATGGTACAATCCGTCCAGAAGTTGCCACTGCTTATAGTTTTTTGAATTCTAGATAGTAAAACAAATAAAATAAATGCTACAAGAATGTATAGTATATCACAAAATATAAACACCTACTTTGAAACTCTGACACTTAAATCAAAAGAGGCGATTCTTGTCTGTGCTTGGGCTCTCTTAATGTTTTTGTTCACTGCACATGTGGTAGATCTGCTATTATACATTAAAAGCAGTTTTTGCTCTCAAAATCAGATGCTACATAATTTCCTTGTTTCTGTTGTTTTCATAGAATTTCATAGAATCCCTACATTGTGGAAACAGGCCCTTCGGCCTAACAAGTCCACACCGACCCCCAGAACATCCCACCCAGACCCATTCCCCTGTAAGCCACCTAATCTACACATCCCTGAACACTATGGGCAATTTAGCATGGCCAATTCACCTAGCCTGCACATCTTTAGACTGTGGGACGAAACCCACGCAGACAGGGAGAATGTGAAAACTCCACTCAGACAGTTGCCTGAGGGTGGAATCGAACCCGGGTCCCTGGCGCTGTGAGGCAGCAGTGCTAACCACTGATCCACTGTGCTGCCTCTTTATATACATTAAAAAATGATAAGATCTAATTACATAAAGATTACTTGTATTCTCTCAGGTATAGGCAATTGAGTAGTGATCTAATTACAGTACTTAAAACTACTATGAATTCAGAGGCTAGGAATCCAGCAGCTAGTTTTTCATTGCCTGACCCCCCAAACTCTGTCTACTTGTCCAAGGTGCAAGTCAGGAATGTGTTGAAATTTTTCATTCCTACATGGATAAGTGCAGCTCCAAAATAAAATCTGGAATTAAGAATCTACTGATGACCATGAAATCAGAGTTGATTTTCAGAAAAAACCATCTGGTTCACTAATGTCCTTCAGGGAAAAAATCTGCCATCTGGCCTACATGTGACTCCAAACCCACAGCAATGTGGCTGACTCTCAACTGCCCTTTGAACTGGCCTAGCAAGCCACTTAGTTGTACGAATTGCTACAAAGTCCACCTTCAGCAGATGGACTGCAGGGGTTCAAGAAGGCAGCTCACCACCACCTTCTCAAGGGCAACTAGGGATGGGCAATAAATGCTGGCCAGTCAGCAAGGCCCACATCCTACAAATAAATACATTTTTAAAAAAACACTCAAGAATCTTAACCACAGGAGAAAGCAACCTGTTTGGTTGGCAGCACATCCACCATCTCAACAACTGCAATGTGTACCATCAACAAGGTAAACTGCAGAAATTCATCATAGCTCCTTAGACAGCACCTTCCAACCCCATGACCATTTCCATTTAGAAGGATGAGGGCACTCCAAGCCAGTCATCATCCTTACTTGAAATGTATTGTTGTCCCTTCAGCGTCACAGGGTCAAAATCCTGGAACTCCCTCCCAAAATGGCATTGTGGCTCTACCTGCAGCACATGGAGTGCAGCAGTTCAAGAAAGTAGCTCACCACCACTTCTCAAGGTTAACCAGGGATGGGTAATAAATATTGGTCCAGTGGGTGACACCCACATTCCATAAGTGAATAAAAATAATCGATAGCATAGGTACTGAGAAACCTGTTTTTTTTCTGCTGTGCAGTATCTAGAACATAGATGTATAACCTTGAAATTAGAATCAAGGCACAGAAGAATGAAACAAGACGACACTTATGACACTTTGTAAAGTATTGTGGAAGTCTGGAACTCACTCCCTGACAAAGGACGATGCTGAGTACCTTTTGGTACTGAGACTAATAGACTTTCATTTGGTTTTGGAAACAAGGAAGATAAATAGAGTTGAGGTACAGATGAGCAGCTTGACTACATAATAAATATAAGGGTCTGAATGGTCTACTCTAATGCTTCTGCAATTGGCCTACCTTCCTGTGAAAAAAAATTAAAAATTGAATCCTGGATCTAAGTGCATATCCACAGTGGGAGTTGTAATTAAGAATATAAATCTTCCAGGACTCTGAGGAAGAGTCACTGGACCCGAAACGTTAACTCCAATTTTTTCTTCACAGATGCTGCCAGGCAGGCTGAGCTTTTCCAGCAACTTCTGTTTTTGTTCCAACAAACCAATGTCTATGTGCATCCCTTATCAGATCTCCCAAAATGTATCACCTCACACTTATCTGGATTAAATTCCATCTGCCATTTCTCTGCTCAATTTACTAGCTGATCAATATTAGACTTTAGCCTGAGACTACCCTCCACAGTATTAACTCCACATTAATTTTGATGTCATCCTCAAAACTTACAAAGCATACCTTCAACATTGACATCTGGAGTCAATGGATGCAAGGCTGGTTTGCATGATGAACTGGGCTGTGTTCATGACTCTCTGAAGTTTCTTGTGGCTTTGGGAGGAGGAGTTGCTATACTACGCTGTGATGCATCCAGATAGAATGCTTTCGATGATGCATCTATGAAAATTGGTAAGAGTCATTATGGACATGCCAAATTTCCTTAGCCTCTTGAGGAGTTAGAGGCGTCTTTGTGCTTTCCTGACTATTGTGTCGACACAGATGCACCAGAACAGGTTGTTGGTGATCATCACTCGCATGAACTTGACTTTCTTGACCAGCTTCACCTCAGCGGCATTGATGCAGACAGAGGCCTGCCCTCCACCTTGCTTCCTTAAGTCAATGACCAGCTCCTTCACTGCTGACATTGATGGAGAGATTGCTGTCTTTACACCATGCCGCTAAGCACTCAGTCTCTTTCCTGTACTCTGTCTCATCTTTGTTCGAGATCCAGCCTACAATAGAGGTGTCGTCAGCAAACTTGTAAGTGAAGTTGGAGTGGAGTTTGGCCACACAGTTGTGAATGTATAAGGAGTACAGTAGGGAGCTGAGTATGCAGCCTTGCAGGGCATCAGTGTTGAACATTAACGTGTTGCCAATTCTTACTGATTGCAGTCTATGTGTAAGGAAGTCGAGGATCCAGTTAGGGGAGGGGAGCTCAGACCGAGGTCGTGGAGTTTGGAGGTGAGAGTTTGGAATTATGATGTTGCAGGTGGAGCTGTAATCAATAGTAGGAGCCTGATGTAGGTATCCTTGTTATCCACGTATGCCAGGGATGAGAGTAGGGCCGGGGAGATGCAAAGGATCAAGATAATCTGGTAGGATGGAGTTGATGTGAGCAACGACTAACATCTTGAAGCACTCCATAATTATGGAGGTCAGAGCCACTGGGCGGTAGTCATTGAGGCACATTGCATGATTTTTCTTTGGCACTGGCTTGATGGTGGTCTTCTTGAAGCAGGTGGGGAGTTCAGATTGTAGTAAAAAGAGGTTAAAGATGTCAGTGAATACTCCCACCAACTGGTCAGCGCAGGATCTAGTGCATGGCTGGGATCTCGATCTGGGCCAGTTGCTTTCCATGGGTTCACTGTCAAGAAGGCCGATCTAACGTCTGCTGAGGTGAGTGTGGGTACAGGTGAATCCAAGGCTGTTGGGACAAGTGATATAATTTCACTGACCCTTTTGTTCAAAGTGATTGTAGAATGCATTGAACTCATTGCGTAGGGATGTATTGTTGCCCACGATTCTGTTTGACTTCGCTTTGTTGCCCGTTATGTCATGTAAGCCTTGCCGCAAACGATGGGGGTCCACATGTTTAATCTGAGTCTCAAGCTTAGTTAGGTTTTGCCTCTTGGCATCTCTGATGGCCTTGCGAAGGTGATAGGTCATTAATTGGAGATCCACTAGTGCACTTATAAATAAGAGCTTACCAAAATTTTGTGGAACTTTAGGCGGTATATGCTTGTAATGTGCATCTATGTAAATAAATCTTATATGCTTCACTGCCTGGCTTCATCAAGTTAACATGGTGGGAGAGAACCTAGGAAACCAAGGAAAATTGTTCAGATATCAAACCAAAATCTTCATGGCAACTGTCGATCATGCCAGAAAGCAAGAACAAATTGTTAGGGTATGACTGCCTTCTGATCTTCTTGGCATCTAAGCCAAAGTAAGAATGAAGCTGCCTTGTGGACCGGTTACAACCTAGCAAAACAAAATTATGGTCTGGCTTTAATGTTGTCACTTTGTACAAGAAATAAATTCAGAAGTAAAGTATTTTCTGAGATGAATGCCTGTTGTTCGATAGGAATGGACATTTGGACCTCCCGTTAGTTCTTGGATGAAATTTAAAAGAATCAGGGATCATATCCCCAAAATTGGCCAATAACAAATGCAAATATCATAAGTTTGAAAGCAACCAGTTGGCTTGTGTGCATATGTGAATTCTGAGAGAGCAGAACACCTTATTTATTACAGTAGATCTAATTCAGGTGCCCAAAACATGATTGGCAGCAGGATTTAAATTTAACCAGGTTTCCTATAGCTTAGGCAGCCTAACAGTGAGATGGAAGTAGAAGCTCCAGCATGTTTGTGCTGTTAATAACATTTGCAGTTGGCCAGAGGGGGTTCTCTTTTGCATCTATGATTCAGATTGGTGATTTTTTTTCCATTCCATGATATCTACCATGCATTGTCAAGGTCTCTTCAACACCATCTTTCCTTTTTGATTCTCATTGGGATTTTCCAACCTGGTAAGACTCAAAATCTAGCTGGCTGCATGACAGAATGAAAATATAACGAAGCCCCACTGTTAAATCAACAGAACCTTAACACCACCTGCACTCCTTGCTTCCCGGAAAGATTGTAGTTTCTGATGTATAAATGTTACAATCAAGGGGTCACTCGAGAAGTACAAACCCCAGAATGTGATTATAAATCAGTATGCCTGAAAGTGTTTTATGAATGAAAACGATGGTATTTTATACTACATTGTATAAGCAATGTTTAGCTGGAAATCCTTTCCATCCTATGCTATACATATTCCGTCAAAAATGACAATATAACTGATAGAAACTGCAGTATGATTCTGCTACCACAATAGCCAAATATGTATTTCATTATTGGCCCATGTACCTCTGTTCAAATCACAGCTCATCACAAACTATATAAATGGTTTGGGTGTGGGGGCCAATTGTAATATTTTCAAATTTGCTGGTGAC